TGTTGGTTAAGCATCTGTGTACTAACATCAATCCCAGAAAGCCAGCAGCCATAACCTGGGTGGCTATGATACCAGCCAATTGCATTTTCAAGGCGGCCAACCTAACAGAGAAAAAAGCTGGCCTGAGGTCTGGTTTAATCTCAGAGATACCATCATTTACACATTTCATGCAGCATGGTGTCAAATTACAGCGTGCAGAATGCTGCTTTCACATTAAAGATCTTTTGGACAGATGGTACATGCATACTGTGCAAAACTATATCCAGGTACAAGAACAAAGCTGTTTAGTCTCCTTCCCACATTTTCCCCTCATCTATCTGGTTTCTCAGCCCAGATCTTAACCCTATAATCAGTTGCTCCCATATCCTTGAAGAGATTCTCTGTGTACATGTAGATTAATAAACACACCTGCATACAGTAACATACTACATACTGTTTTACACTTTTCTTTTACTTGACAATTCTGGAACTTATTCTATGTCAGTAAATACACATGTTGCTTTTTTTTAAAAAAAAGTTGGTTTATATAGTCCATTAATAGATGTGCCATAATCTATTCAGCTGGGTTTATACTTAGGAATATTTAGTTTATTCCCAAACTTTTTCTTTTGGGGGAGAGGGTGTTTTCTGGAGATATTGAACCCAGGGTTTTCAACTAAGCATGAGCTCTACCACTGCATTTTCTCCAGCACCAAAACTTTTGATTTCAAACACACTACTGATAATGACTTTTGTGAAAATTTATTTGGGAAAGCCCGCCCCTGCCAAATCTATGTTATAAAATTCAATAGGCTTTTTAAAAAAGGTATATTTTATTTGTTATTTTTATTTTATGTGTATGAGTGTATTGCCTGCATGTGAGTGCACCCGTGTCATGCAATGCCACGGAGGTCAGAAGAGGGCTTCAGATGCCCGTGGAACTGAAGTTAAGGACGGTTAGTAGCCGCCTTGTGGGTGCTGGGAATTGAACCCGGGTCCTCTGAAAGAGCAGTCAGTGCTCTTAACCACTGAGCCATCTCTCCAGCCCCAGGCTTTTAATATCATACACATTTTGTATAGAAAATGTTCAGTTTAAAATATAAAATTTAATGTGAAGAAGACAGTGTTAAGTTCAGAAACTCAAAAGTCACCTTGAGACTCTTACAGCTACTGAACTTTAAGGAACAACACTCTTACCTGTTTGGCATTTTCGATGTATGCAGCCATGTACTCATAAGCAGCAGCTTGAGCATTTACCCGGGTCTCAGTGCCCTCTACGGGCAAAGCAAAACTGTCCATGATGATCATGGTTTCACCATCCACCTTCCCAAGCATCAAACCCATCACTTCCAAGTTGCCTCCTGATCTGGCATGCATCACCATTTTCAGTAGAGCCAATGCTGAGATTTTGCAGTACTTAAAGTAATGGTGACTACAAAACAAAATCACGGTGTGATTAAGGTTCTTATTTGATGTATAATTTCAAAAGACCGCTTTTGTGAAGTACTGAAGGGATTACAGGGATGGAAGGGAAGTGCAGAATGTGGGAGGAAAAAGTTTCTACAAGGGCATGGGAACAAAGTGTCACACTATTGCACAGTATTCCTCTCTTGGAGAAGAGTCTCAAATAAATTTTAAATATACTATTCAAATGAGGGAGTAGCACAATCAGTTTTCTTTCCTCAATTAATTGGAATCGTTATCTCTGATTCCCTTCTCAGGCTTAACCTGTCTTAAATCATTTTTGTGTGTGGTGTATGCACGTCAATGAGACATTGGGTGACATGTGGAGGCAGGGGGCTGTTGGGAGTCTTCCTCTCTTGTTCTCTGTTTTATTCCTTTGAGACAGGGTCTCTCCATGAACTGGAAGCTTACTGTTTTAACTAGGCTGGCTGGCCAGTTAAGATTCCAGAATCTACCTGTCTCCCTGTCTCCAGTGCCGGGGTTGCAGGTACACTCAGCCATGCCCATCTTTTTACATGGGATCCTCAAGCTTGCATAGCAAGGGCTACTACCCACTGAGCAATCCCTGTAGCCCTGGGACCTAATTTTAACAAATGTGGCCTTTGATATCCACCTGCTTAGGTTTGAATCTCATCACAGACACTCCCTAAAGCAATGGGACCACTTAATGTTTGTGCTTCAGATTATATATCTATAGGTAGAATACTTCAACGTCCGATGGAAGAGAGTGTATAAAGTACTTAGCTTAAGCGAGGTGTGGTGGTGCATGCCTTTAATCCCAGCACTTAGGAAGAAGAGGCAGGCAGATCTCTGTGAGTTTGAGGCCAGCCTGGCCTACATAGTGAGTTCCAGCCCACCTGGGGCTACAGGGAGATCCTGTTTCAAAAAGACCAAAATAAATAAATAAATAATAAAAAAAATAAAGTGCTTAGCTTAGTCCCTGATATATGCTAAAATCTAAAATGCTGTTATTAGCCTTATTAATCTCTTATGGTACTCTCAAAGAAAACAGTGTGTTGGAGGGCATGGTTTCTCTCTATTATCAACCTGAAAAGACCTAATATCCCTACTTTTTCTGTGACTATTATTCTAGAGTTTGTCATCACTGAATGTAACTAAACTCTTGAATAAAATTACACATTTAAAAAGTCACTAATACAGCTTATGACAGCTAGAATGAATATAATTAGAGCCACAGTGAGGCAAGCTGATAGCTTATAAATATTCATCAGACTATATCAACCTAAAATGTACAGCTTGCTATAGAAACAGAGACCTGGGTAATCTACGCAGGTCACCCTAGTGTTTCTGAAAAGGCTTTTTAGATGCTTGCCCACAGAAAGCAACCAAATTTAATTCCCAACATTGCTAAATTTCTACCACAAGCTGAAAGATGCAGATGCCTGGTCTTGGGAGTCAAGACATACATTAAAAATTTAGCTCCTTCTTATCATGTAGTTATTAAAAATTAAAAAAAATGATTAAAAATAATTCTTCAAAGCATAAACATTTACTCCTTAATAATTAGTAGATGTGAAAAACATTACCATTGAAATCTGCCTGACGACTTTATATCCATGCTCAGATAGATGCCAAGGAGCTCCGAAAGTAACCAACTGTGACTAGTAATAATCAGATATATTGAGATTAGAAATGCATGTGCAAACATCTTAATGTCAATAGCATTAAAAATGAATTTTTCTGTATGAAACTGTGTATTTTAATAA